CCCCATTCTACAATTAATTATCAAGGAATTATAACATTCGTGATTGATGATCCTGTACAAAACATGCAAAAGGCACTTCAAATAAGTTAGAAGTATGAACAGAAGAGGAAAAATAAGGGCTCCACCGTTTCAGGTGTTTACAAAGGTACGTCTGCGCAACTATGCAAGTGTGCTATATCAGGCTGATTCATATTTTACAGGGATATTCTAAAATGCTTGTTACAGTCATTTGCAAAAGTTTAAGACCACCTAGAATTTTATTGGTATTTCTGTCACTGGGCCTGCATTACACTGTCTCACTGAATGATTACTTGTCATGATTTTACAGTGGTGCATAACATCAGTGTAGTGCTGTATACCCATTTGAATGAAATTTTTTGCAAAGGCAGGTCCTGTATGACATTTTGTCTGCAATGCAGCGTGGGTAAAAAAGCCAGTCTAAGCAGTCAGAAATAAAGGAGGGCACACTGAATATTAGACTGTTAACATGTCAAATCAAGGAAATGTAGTCGAAAATGTTCAACCAAGGCACCAAGGTTACACATTGAAAATAAACATAAGTTGCCATGATTGATTGGTTTAAGTTTGGTTTGCCGTCAGGTTAATGCATTTTCTATGGGTGGTCCTAAATGAAAGTATGAAATGCCAAACTGAAAGGTTCATTTAACAGAAGGAAGATGAGATGTAACTTCTCAGATATTTCAATCCCCTTGAGACTTGGGTGGTTTGAGAGAGATCCATGTCCCAAGTTCCAGTGTTTCACACAAAGTTTAAAAATACCACTGCACTGTAAATCTCCCCAGAGTTGCCTTTTCCACCGTCATTAGCGGGATCATGATGGGCTGGTTTGGGCTGATTGTTCTGCACCATCCTTCCTGTTGGTTCCCATGCTGCCACAGATAGTGAGTTCCTTCCCTTTCAGGCCGGGGATTCTTCCATTTTTTTTTTCCACGGGCCTGCTAGTTATGTGGCTCGTCGTGGGCTGATGCTGCAAAGGAAATACCAGGCAGATTAAACTCCTATGCCATGGTCGAATGTCGTTTTGGGGTTTGGCCGACTTCCCGCACTGAGGGAACAAAATTGTCATGTTTACAAACAGTCAACTGCCAAAGCCGACAAGCAAATGTTTATCAAACAGAGAGAAGAAATAGTGCCCCCCCTTCCCTACCGTCCCCTAGTCCTGAGTTTTGCGCACATTGAACTCATCAGAGTGCATGTAAGCACAAGAACAAGAAAGGTAGTCATACAAGATTAGTCTCTTTCGACTTAACCAATGTTGAAAAGCCAATTACTTGCGCTGTTGCTTCCGTTTTTTTTTCTGGGCTTGTGTGAATCCAAGTTTCACATCAGCTATTTTCTTAGAGATCCTTCATTCTACAGCACCCCTCTCTATCATCCAGCACAACTTAGAGTTGATTTTTGTTGGTGTGGAATTCCGGAAGGAATCTGACCGTCTTCGAACAGTAGGAGGGTTAAACGCGCTTTGGCCAGGCTCAGGGGAGGCTGTCAGTTCTAAGAATTCACACAGAATACCAGCTCGTGGAGAAGTTCACTGAGCGTATTTCCTCAGAAGTTACGCTTAACTTTGACCTGTACTTTATTCATCTCGTGGTACAGCATGTGACTGCAAAGTGGAAATGACAAGGCCACATCCCTGAATCTTTTGTAAGAACTTTGAGAACCATATTGCAAGTTTACATAACAAGCAGACCACATCCCTGTAGTGAAAATATATGTTTGTTGGACTGGGTAGGGCCTAAATATGTTCACACATCTCCATTGTTGCAAATGTTATTTTATTGCAGTCTTTGCATTATGTATTTAGCAGCTGAACCAGAAAACGACGTCTGTTTTCGTACGTGACCTGACCCAGTTCTGTTTAGAAAGTTACAGCTGCCCCAGTTTTGCTGGTAAAAAAAAAAGTTAGTAGTTTCGTGTCCACTTCCCGTTTGGAATGCTGCCTGGCCCCGGGTACATGAAGCAAAATGAGAGAAATGCGAACTAAACATAGTGTATGACCATATCTAGTGCAGGTTGTTCTCTCCCGGTGTCTACTCCTAGGATTGTTTAAGAAACAGTGAACCAGTTGCAGTATCTACATTTCCCTGGTAACCCGTAGATTCACCTAATTGTTATTTCTGTCTTTTCCACCTGATCTGTATTGTGGAGTGCTGAGCTGGGCGTCAAGACTGACATCTCCTCCGACACAGACCTGTATCAGAAATCTTTCAGTGCGACATTGTTTGTTGTTCTTTTTCTTTCTTTTTTTTTTTTTACATATGTTTCTCAGTTCTCGCTTTGTTTCTATAATCTGCAACTGTTCACATATTCATTTGATATCAGTTCCCGATCGCCTGGTACCTCTGTTGTTTGGTCTTTCCTCCATGTCTTGGTCCTTATTTTGTCCCCAGTCCTTTCAGAATTCCATCATTATTCTTGTCTCCATCCCCAGCATTTTCCTCCCTGTTCATTCTCTGCTTCCTCCCCGCTTCCCTCACCCATTTTCATCCCGTCCTAATTTTCCCGTCTAGTCTCCCTACCTTTCCATTTTCCTTCACTCCAGCATCCCAGTAATCATCCCAATAAAAGCAACTTCCATCCTCCTCCCTGCATTTCCTCTTGCGCATCCTCCCATCGTCTCTTCCAGTCCCAGCCCCCCTCCCCCATCTCCTGTTCCTGCCCGTCCCTGTCCTTAGCAATTCTCCCTTTGGTGATCCTCCTTTCCACCCACCCTCCACCACCGCCCCTTGCATCCCAACTCCTCCATCTTTAAAGAGCTCTGTCACTTGCCCGCGGCCCGCATGTGGCCACGCCGCTGAAAGACAAGGGCTTAATGAGAGTGCGGCCCAGTAATTGAAACGCAGGCGCTGGCGAAGTAATGAAGCAGAAACGACACAGGCGCGTCTTTCACTGATCGTTATATGTCCAGCAGATGTAGAACAGGGAGTTAATCTTCCCTTGGCTAGGCATACTGATGAACAGCCTTGTTTGCCACTTTGTTGCAGAGAGATTCCCTCCTGTCAGATGAGATGTTTAATCTGTAGCTGAAAGCAGTTTTATTTGAATCAGTTTTGATTTTTTTTTTTGGTGATGAGGTATTTCAACTCAACACATATTCTGTGAATTGTTCTTTTTTAAGCTTTAGTAGCCCCTGAACTTAGTTGAGGAATCACAAATTTCCTCTTTTTGGGGGGGGGGTTTGTGGCTACCACTTTGTGATGGCCATTCCTCAGATGATGTGTTCTTCAAAGTATTTCAAATCTAGGAGTGACATTAACACAGACATCAAAAAAATTCAGGCGAATTGCCTCAGGCTACAATTCAATTTGGCACTGATCCAACAAGTCAGCGGATATATCAGCGCCTACACACAAGCTCTGACATGCATTCTTTTTTTTTTTTTGTACAAGGTATCTTGCACTTTATCGGCCGATCATTTCTTTATCTCCGGATTTGTGAAGCAAGGTTTCACACTTCCAAAGTAGAAAAGCAAAACCACTGACACAGTTTTTTCCTCCTGGTTTTGGAGTTCTGCTGTAGTGGGGTGGATAGGTCAAATACCACTGTTTTTTGAGGGGGGGGACTAGATTGGTACAATTCCGGTGTTGAGAACCTGTGAAAAGTGCATTAAACTAATTCCCCTTCTCTCTCTGTTGTGGAACGGATTAACTCCATATTGTTCGCCCTGCTTTTGGACAAGAGCGTTAACACAACCATTGTGAAGACCTGACCAGCCAAACCGCCCCGCTTTAGAACCTCTGGATGGGATTGTGGGGGCAAATCCGGTCACAGTGTCCCAACCGCATTGAGGAGAATCACCAGACCATGCCACAGTCTGGAAATAACTTTCCAGCACTGAAATCATTCCCTTATATCAAATCACGAGTTCTTTGAGTGGGCTGCGGGAATCAACATGCACCGTTTTCTTTCACACAGCATTCAAAGCGTAATGCTGAATTTATTAATGAAAATTGAATTTTCTCTCCAAAGTTTTCAAAGGGGCACAATTTTCATGGGAAAAAAAACCTTTTCTGTCGGAAACCCATTTTGTTATGACCACATGCAGCTCAAGATCTGGTACATTGTACATGCACCATGTACGGTATGGCCTTGTACATACATGGACATGCCTGACTAGCTACTCCACATGTACATGTGCATGTTGCATGTGTATGGAAATGTGCCTGAATGGCGAGTGTAAGAAGAGAGTGTATTTTAGACAGTTCGAAGTACATGTATAAAGATATTAAATGACCCCCTTGCACTGTAAATTATTTGTTTATTATTTTTACATTCTTGTGGACATATTTTACTTCATCATGTGAACTACGAAGGAATTTTGTTTATGAAATGTAATACCAAGAGCAAAGGAAAATAATCCTGAAGGCAAGGGGCACGTTGTTTGTGGGTAATTCCAGAAATGAGGGGTCCATTTTTTTGGTGTCCCTGTCACATCTGACATGTGATTCTGTAAGTTCAGAACACATTTCTAGTTTCCAAGAGTGAGGAATTAATGCAAATTACCTGCCAAACAAATAGTAATAGTTTGAAATCAATCCTGGTGATATTTCCATGTCTAAGAACAAAGGTCACGTGTAACGGACACGAAAATGTCCTCTTTTGGACCCCTAATTTCTGGAATTACCCTGGAATACTGTGGGCTTAATTTTGCCAAACTTGGGGTATAATTTAATAAGGCTCGTCATATGCAAAGGTATCTTGTGGATCAAAGTTATATGTCTATCTTGCTTTGGTGACACGGCAAGTACACGCTGTACAGGGTGTATTATGAATGCAATATACAAGAGATTGATTCCATGGTGTACCCGCAAACCCATTTCTCATGCCTCTTCCACTGTGCCAAGCTTCAAATCTTACTTGTGAATGCAATGGCTCTCTGTAGTGTTTGCTGTAAAAGCTGAATGTTTCCCAACATTAACGTGGTAGTATGGAAAGTGCTTGAATTTGGCTTTTTTTTTGTGTTGACCTTTTATCTGCAGTTTCCATTGGCAACAAGGATTCGCCTAATGGCGCCATCACAGACGGCCACAATGGTCACCAGAGAATGCTCCCCTCTGTCGGTCAAACCATGGAGAGTGTGGACTTTGACCAGCCAGACAGCAGCAGCAGCAGGAGCGGGCTCAACCTGGAAGGGGAGGCAGAAATGCTGGTCCATGTGAGTATCGATGCCCAACTATAATCTGAGTGACAACTCAAAGTAACTCAGTTTCAGCTGTTTCATGTCGAGTGTCTGATAGGCAGTTAGATGAGCAAAGTTTTGAGAGGAACTCAAACTGTCTTTGATAAAGTGAGTGTAGCCAAGACTTGGTGAGTAACCTGAGCCACCATGAGTCACATTCTCTCAGAGGGACTCACAAGGATTTTTTGTAACAACTGGGTCTTTGTAGGCTACTACAAAATATAATTTCAGTGTTTTTCAGTTCTTTGTAGGTAAATGAGTTAAGCAAAAGACTTCGGAATTTCCAACAGTTTAACGTTTGAGTCATATATGAACATAGAACACTTGACCTTGTTGCTTCGCGTAATACTAGCAATGTATACAAGTTTTCCAAAGTATACATTTGTACATATGTATCAATTTTCCCACTAATGCAGCCTGTGTGTATTTATCCAAACCATGCCGCCACATGGCATATTTCTGTACAGTGGCTTAAATTGCCAAAGTGTTGCTGCGCATCTGACAGATGTTACACAATTTCCGTCCAATTTCAACTCCTTGCAGGCCATGAATGGGTTTCTGCTGGTGGTGCAGCAGGACGGACAGGTCATGTTCGCCTCGCCTTCCATCCAAGAATACCTCGGCTTTCAAGATGTAAGTAAAGGAGGCTTCCAAGATGACTTTTTTCTCTCTCCAAATCCTTGCTTCATCTCTGGCTATCAATTTCATATCATGCGTCAGAATCAATGTCAAGGGTTCCTTCGCTTGGGATCCTTCAATGTCTGTGTTGAAGAAAATGGAGCACCAGGTGACTGGATGGTCTTGTCTTAGGGCACAGAAAGTTTCAAAAGTTGGAAGGCTTCAGCCGATTCAGAGTTGATGCCAAGGTTTAGAGAATGCCCCCAGTCTCAAAATCTTGTAGATATGAAGTCTGAGAATAGTCAGTTGCCTGGTTGTCCGTATGACTGCTGGTGCAGGCTCAACTCATTTACATATGCATGACCGGGTGCTGCCTTTGCATAATTGGTGAATGTAGCCAATCAGAATACAGGAGAGGTAAAATTGTCATGTTGCATCGGAACCAAAGGGATTTCACACGGATCAATGGTGTTCCCTGTCCTTTCATCCATGTGTGATGTGACATCATTTCTTTTGTCTATCTTGACTCTAATGACAACAAGAAGAGAGAAATATGGGCTGTCTTCACCTGCAATTTTGGAAAGTTTTGAGACATTAATAGCAGCACAAGTTTGCATTTACCATCAGCTCAAGCAATCTACGTTTACACTCTCCAGGATATTGTGTTTGCATTGGGCTGCCCTTGATTGAGGCCATGGGATTTGGGAGAGCTCTCATTTTGCGATTCGACAATCCATTTTGGCAGATGAACCTGTCAGTTCACAATCGCACCTACAACATTTTGCCGCTAGCGGGAAATGTATTCCTAACACCCAAAACCCAAGTCGCAATTGTATTGGCAGTCGTCGGGGTTTGCCCCTCAAGTTGGACGACGGTCGGGCTTATTTGCACTTTCCCGATACTCCAGCCGCCACTCCAAGCGCACTCTGGTAATAATTACATCCGAGTCCCCCCCCCAGAATTCAAGCCAGAAATAGTGCATTGATACCCTGCGCCAGGCCGCGGATGTCCCAAACCCTTTCAAGACCAGACAGGGGGAAAGCACGACACCTCTTTAGCGACTAATGACGCACCGCTAATTTACTTAGCCGCGGCAAGACCGTCAAACCGTTTCACACCAAGGCCAGAGAGTGCACAATGATTATGAGTGATTTACCTCATGGATGGCCAGAGACGGGCTTCATTGGGAAATAAATTGCTACAGAGAGAAAAAAAAACCCCAAAATAGCCTTAGTGGGATTTAAAAAAAACATGCTGTGCTCTCAATGATCAATCGAAAAATTTTGGCATCATTGTCAGAGTAATTCTTTATGCTGAGAGGGTTTTAACGAGACTCATTAGAGCTTGGGGGTTTTCAGCCAACGCGTGGCTTAGAGTAATTAAAGCAAGTTCGGCCACGACAAATCTCAAAGAGTGTCCCCTCCCCCATCCCCATCACCATTCTTCCAGCTCGTTATTCAATCATGACAGGGGGGGAATCTACGCTAAATTGATCAGGCCTGTTTATCTTGTTAAAGAGTGCGTCTGGCCGGCACGGATGATAAATGGGCGGAACACTCTGAAAAGTGCAGGGCGGGAGTCATGGCGATACCGGCAGCACGAGGCAGCAGATATTCTGTCAGCAGTTTTCCAATTTCGGTAAATCTGCTCCCTTGTTACAAAAGTCTGCTTAGTCTCTGTTTCAGCAGTGATAGCTGTATCTTCAGTCCGTACCAGTGGTTCTGTTCTCATCCCCCATTTTGCAACTTTTTGGGAGAGCAGAAACAAGACCCATTGTGCATGCTCAGCAGTTTAGTGAGCTGTTAGGATAAAGTCCAACGTCTCTCGCTAGTTTGATGTCGGTATATATACCTTGGACCCTCTCTTTTAAAACGTCTGCCCTCCTTCGCCCATGCGTGCAGAAAAACATTACACCTCCGAAAAGACTGTCATTTATGATAGGCCTTAAATTGTGAACTAATGGTCCAACTTTATAATCAGGAACTAAAAAAAAAAAAATGTCCTCTGAACAACTTGGCTACCAAAGAAGTCAATTTGCATAGCACGCCAGTCAGTACATTATGCATAAATGGAACGGAATGATATAATTTTACTGACGTGCTTACCCGTGGTTTGTTCTTCTTGGAAAATCATGCTTCATTTTCGCTCACATCACCTGTAAGAGTGTAAGCACCTTATGTTGGAGACACTGTGACAGGTGTAAGGTACCACCGTGCTGTGCCCTTCAACTTTGACTTTACCTCCGACCCCGAGCAACCTCAACCCCAGGAGATGTTCGTGACTGCAGTCTTTGGGGAGTGGTCTCGCTCAGTTCCGTGAGCTCAGTTCCGTGATTTCGTAAGGTGATAGCGAGCTGAAATAATTTATGAACACTAAAATTAGGCATCTAGACAAAGGTGGTTATACAACTGACGCCATCTGCAACGCTACAGAAATTTTTTGTTATCAGTACAAAGTAGGCTTTGAAGACAAGATCTTCACAAAATTTAGACAGCAAAACGTAAGCAAAATCAAAAGAAACGGGATTAAATCAACAAGCCAAGCAGCAAGCAATAAATTTGTTCTAAAAAAAAAGAAAGGAAAACATCTGTTGTGAAAAAAAGGCTGGCAGTCAACCAACCCAGTTTTTAACTATCGAGGTTTAGCTTAAATCATATAGGTTTATTGGATTTTGCTTGCTAATCAATCCAGCTTTTTGGCCATCATTTTGAACCATGAAAGGAAAAACATACCACACACTTGACCTGGCTGTGAACCCTAGTGTTACATATTTCTTGAGCTGGTTAAATAACCATCATTCAGATGGATGGTAGAAACATTAGACGCGTGTTACAAAATGTCTGAGCCGTACCTTACACAGTTATTTTTTATGAGGTATGGTCGTGGTGTCATTGATAGGGTTTAGGAGTGGAGAGATAAATTATGCACAGCGCTGAAGAGGATTGGGTGGATAAAGGTCACTGCACTCTCGGTTTGTTGCACTTTACGGGGCCGGGCCGTCTGATCTGAAGTGTTTGTGCCAAAGATGGATTGGCTGTGAGTGGTTCCCTGCACCAGCTGTGATGAATGCAGTACAGGTTACCAGCTTAAAGGGACGGGATCAACCGTTTGAAGTCTGGTCCTTACTTAGAAAGGAGTCGTCCATGAGGAGAAAAAAGTTCATAAACATGAGACGGTCAGCAGTATAACGTAAGGGGGAGGGAGGTTATCGTAGATTGCAATGAGATATAGAGTTTTCAAGCTTCAAGCAAGCGAGGAATGGTAGGTATGGAAGCACACTCTAGACACCACAGTTAGGATTAAGTGAGAGGGAAAACACTTCTTCTCAGTGTCAGGCAAATGAAAGTTTTTTCACTTGAGGGTGATAATTTTTACAAATCTTTTAGAACTGATGGAACCATTCAGAAATATCTTTCAGTTCAGTTCCTAAAAACAGTCCAAAATCAAGCATAGATGTTACTCCAATTGAAGATGAAAGGCTTATTTAGCATTTTCTCTCTTTTTTTTTTTTTATTCTCAAATTTTTCGAAGAGGCGGTTCCATCTGAAGCCCTGCAATAACTGAATGAGAATAGAGTGCGTCTGAGTTTTGTGGTTATGGCTTCAGACAGCATAGATTTTTATGGAAAGCTTCTGGCTATTGTGGCTAAAGCCACTTCCTATAGAAGCCTGTGTTGCTCACAGTCATAGCCAGTTAATTCGGACACGACCTTACATGTTGGTTGTAATGAGCAGGATGGATGGTTTCTGAAAGTGGGAAGATGGAATTAACAATGCCTTCCCCAGCCCCCATGCATGCGAAGGTCTGGTTGTATGTGTCGTCTGTATTAGGCGGTAATGTTCCCTGTTAACGTTTCCTCTCTGCTTTTCCGTATATTCCACTCAGATCTGAACCTTTGTTGTGGTACATTTGTTCTGTGTTGTTTCATGTACTCATTGTGTTTGGGGCAGTGCTCAAGTATTTGTATTCAGTTTGACTGTCATGTTCAATATCATTGTCTCTAAAACCTCAGCAATAAATAAGGCAGGTGTTACTGGCATTCAGCTGTCTGGCAAAAAGGACGTGATTAAGCAAAAAAAAAAATGACCAGCAAGACCGAATGCCCTTCTGCCAGGTGGTTGATGATATATGACAAGATATGATCAGACAGTGATTTATGAATCGATCGATGGATTGATTGATTTGCTCAGGCGGACGTCATGCACCAGAGCGTTTATGATCTCATCCACAAGGACGACCGCAGCACCTTCCAGCAGCAGCTGAAGTATGAGAGTTGCCATGACTACCCAGAGGATGTGGACAACCCAGGTGATGAATTATTCATCTTTTCATGCATTTATTAGGGGGAGGGGCTTATTGCAACACAGATCTGTTCTCCTTAGATCGTAAGAGCTCCTGGCCATTTATTCATTTTTCTCACAGCACCACATGAAATATGGATATTTTTTATTGTAGTAGATCCCAAAACTTGCCTTGTAATGATCAAGTAGAGAAGGGGCGGAGTTATGTCCATTGTGGGAGGGGGCAGAGTTGTCAGTGGTGATGATGTTTCATAACCAGGAACCTGAACCGACTTCGTTCAAAAAAAGTGCAGTGCCAGTGACATCAAATGAAAGTGAAATTGCGGGGAAACAATGCCGCTGTTTTGCAATTCCAAAATTGGCAGACGGGTTCAAGTGTAAGGGAGGTCAGGTTTGTCTGTTTGCTAGTCTCGAAATCGACAGATGCCATTGCAGTCGCAGTCTGGAGGGCAGGGAGGTGCAGTGTATCGTGGGAAAAAAGGCTGAGCCATTGCACAGTGCCACTTCTGCCGGGGAGGGGGTTGCTGTCGGCATTCTTAACCCTAACAGTCCTTGGTCCTCCAATTTCAAAGTGAGTTGACATACACTAGAGGATTATGGTCCATGTCTCATTGGTACGGCCTGCTATTTGTCATTTGCATGCATACAAAGTCAAAACAGGAGTTTTACGCAGCAATGTGACCGGATCTTGCTAAATGAGGCCTTAGCTTATTATCGTGTTCATTTTTCATGTGCATTGGACTGAGCATACTTAGGTCTCATTTTGAGGTATCACACAGTTTGACTTTCCATTTTTGACACTGCATGGGCAAACGTCCAAGTTGTTGTTTTCACCTTGCTAGGCTAAGTGCCTAGAATTCCAAACCATTTTCAGCAACTTCTGACTTACTTGGCTCAGTTGGGTCACAGATTTGAACAATGAGTGAGTTGCCAGTTTCCAATAAGCCTTTTGTGAGTGAAATTTGAATAAAATCTGGTACACTGAGTTCTTTAAATTCATGTGAACATAACAATTTGAATTCTCCATACTAAAGACACTGTTTCTATGCCTTGCGATTTGGGGTAAGCTGTTGCTTAGTTACATAAGAGAAGCCTTGCACCAGTACACTGTTTTCAATAGATAAGAAGGGTACAAAGGAACCAGTCTATTCCAGAGATGGTGGTCGCTATGCGAAAGCTTGCCCTAATTCATGAGGTTTAGCAACAGTGTCTTTAGTCTGGGAAATTCAAATTGTTTTGTTTATGTACGCTCAGATAACTCAGTGTGCCAGATTTTATTCAAATTTAACTCGCAAAAGGCTTATTGTGTAAAAATCAAACAAGCTTCTTCCTATTGTTCGCCTGACCAAGGTAGTCTGGCTATGGCTTTGTTTAAAAGTTATGGCTATGGCTAAAACATAACATACGCTCTTGTGGCTTGTAGCCGCGGCCACTTCCCATAGGCATGTGTGTTACTCCAAGCCGCAGCCAGTTGATGTGGACATGGCACATAATCTAGAGAGCTTTGGCTAGCCTGACCTGTGACACTGGACCACCTTGGGGTCAATAAAAACTCATTTAAATATTCCCCTTTGACGTTGACTGAAAGAGAGACGTCTACAAAGTACAGTGCAGCTCGGCTGAGGGTAACTAAAAAGTTGTACCCTGTTCTGACGTCCTATTGTTCCATAACTCTCTCTTCTGAACCCACCTATCCCCCTCCCCATTTTTGCTGCAGACTCCCAGGCTGCGCTAGAGCGGAACTTCACAGCTCGGCTGCGTTGTCTTCTGGATGAATCATCCGGTTTTCTGGTAAGCCCTAGCTCTGAAATAATTAGTACTTGATGGCGAGCTGTCGGGATCCTCCTAGCTTTTTACCTTCTCATTTGGAGTGCTTTGCAGAATTCCCTTAACAAGCAGTTTTTCTCTGAGTCTGTTAAATCTGTCAGACAACCAAAATAGTTTCCTTCCTCTGTTCCATCTGCTCCTCTAGCATCACCTGTTCTGTTTTTCTTTTTTTAAGAGTTGTCCTTTCTTTCTTTGTTGAATTTTGTCCTTTGTTATGGAGAGGCTAGTTTTGTATTAGGGAACATAACAAGAGACGAAGTAGTGACCTTTGGCAAGTGCTTCATCTGATCTGGAAGGGATTTAGAAAGGATTGAGCAGGTCGAACTTCCTGACTTGCAAAGTCACTGTTAGTTTTTTGGGAAAACTGAAAGTTAAAAATACATTCCATTTACAACCAAATTGTGACAAAACTTTTGGAAAATCTGTCCTCAACATGGACTTGGGTACAAAGGTTCTGCCCAAAAGAGGGGTCTACCAGCTCCATTCCTTCACAGCTCATTCACAGACGCTGTGGGCAAACAGAGCATGCTTGGGTTGGGGTCGCTAAATGATGGTTTTTCTCATGGTTAGGTTTATGATATCAATTCATGTCTGAGATGTCCATCATCATGATGTGAGGAAAAGCAAGCAGTAGTATGATGGGAGAGCCAGGTGTAAGGAACTTGTTTGTCACCGGAGAATGTCAGGGTGGTCTGCCAATGTTAATATGACTCGGACAGAAAAAAAAATTTACTGACATTTCCAGTGGATCCTTCCAAAATTTGAAGTGTTCCCCCCCTCTCCCGAACTGTCCCTAATCTGTGTCTTAGCCATCACAGACAGTTTGGACAACCTTATTTCTGCTGTTCTACATATTGGTTTGTGCTATCATTCGATTGGACCTTGAGAGGAAACACCTAACAGTGGCAGACTTAAGAAATGTCTTGCACCATTTGGATAGTTTGAACTCCTACATGTAATTGGTGAAGGCACAGCGTCCTATCTTGGGGCTGTCTTTAGTCTTGGCTCAGTTCAGAACCTTTTTACGTGGACTTTATTGATAAATATGGGGCTGTGATTCAGTTGAAACGTGTCAAATCTTTCTTGCTGTGAGGCTGGGACCGGGTTTGAAGTTAGAACGGGAAGCTTACAAAGATTTTCAAGTTTGCCAATTTTTCCTATTTTTGGTTTGCATCCACAGAACCTCCAGATTACCGGTCGATTGCGGCCCCTGTACGGCCAGCGCATCCGTGGGGAGGACGGTGTGCCTGTGGATGTCGACCCACCGGAGATGGCGCTCTTTGCCATAGTCTGCCCCATGCAGCAGCCCTCCATCATGGAGATCTACGTCCGCAACATGATCTTCCGAACCAAGCACCAGTTGAACTTCAAACCGATCACCCTGGACAGCAAGTAAGCAAAGAAAGTGCCCTGCGAGCTTTCTAAGACTTCTTTGTCATTCTGATCTGTGTAACATTGGAGATGACATACTTTTGTCTATGAAATTAAGTTATTTTGGGGCTGGTCCCACAAAATGAGTCCTAAGTCCATTTCTGTCCAGAAATTTGGGTTTAGTTTGCTTTAAAAAAACAAAAACCGAACCCTTTGTTTTGTTGTGTCACTCAGTCCAAAGTCATCTCGACAAAAATGGGTTCTTCCCTCCAAAAAAGTGAGTTTGGTGGCTTAATTACTTCATTTGGTTTGGAAGTAGTTCTTGATTCATTCACCCAAAAGGCCTTCTCTGGAGGTTATTTTAATTCAAGCCAGAATAACTGCATTATAAAGGTCGTCTCATGTACTCCAACAAAATTTAAACATGACAACTTGAAGATGGTTTATAGAAGTGACGATTTCACAGCTGCTCAAAAGCAGGAAATTGTTGGAGGGTTAATTTGGGTTTTATGTCCTCCTGCTCAAGTTCAAGGAAACCCGTGCATAAACTGAGCCAGATATGGCCGAGTCCTCGGCGCAAGCCAGTTTTGACACCTTCCCAACAAAATGTTGCAAGTTAGGGGCAGTGACAGCCGTCGACTGGGAAATATTGCCAGTATGTCCGCTCTGAAGAAGTTTTTAAAGTTACTGCTCCAGTACTCCTTGAGAGCGATTCTGGGATACATGTATAGGTAGAACCAATCTTGCCGGCATGCAATCACAGCTTTTCAAAGGAATGTGTTGCATAGTGGGACAGGATCAAGCCATCGATGCAAAGAGCATGCCTTTGAAAACCTATTTGGGAGGAATTTGGGAAGAGTTTATGGTGTTTTGTAAACATTTCAGCTCACTCCTTTATATTTAACTGTTTCTTCAGAATGTATTCCCTGACCAAACAACTATGCCCACTCCTGCCTGTCAGTGTCTCTGTCATTCGTTCATCCCATTTGATGTTTGCACCAACAGAGCGGAGGACATCTTAGGCTACAATGAAACAGAGTTCAAGTTGATGGCTGGTTACCACTACGTGCACTATGAGGACATCATCTACTGCTCAGAGATGCACAGCTGTTGTAAGTCCAGGCACTTTGCACTAGCACTTCCCCCAGATTTGCAGCGCACTGCAGACTACCAGTCAGAACTGTGCATAACTCAACCACATTTTGGCGGGTAACCAGATGCAGCCAGCGTTTGTTTAAATGCGTTAGCTTGATGCTGTTTTTGCAGAAAAAGGGTGACGAATTATAAATTGCTGTCCTTTTGGGGTGTTTTTTGTGTTTGCTCTGTTCATTTGTTTGTTAATGGCTGGAAGTTACACAGGTCAGGTTCATTCAGTGCGTCTGCTTACAGACGGAGAAACACACCCCTATACTGTTCAGAATGTAAAGGTCTGACTAGTTTAGGTGAGTGAAATACCAAAGGTGAATTGTGTAATCTTAAATGGAAAACAACCCACCGTTGTCACTAGGTAAAGCCATTACTGCTGGACGCATTTGTAGCTAAACTTTAAAGAGGGACGATTTGGTCGTTCATTGCGCTGTAAAAAGAATGATTATGGTTGACCTAAAAAGTATGAAACCATTTGTGGGAGTTTCTTCACGGCTCAGTTGATTTGTCATTGGCAACTCGCTCTACACACCCACCCAAAAGTCTTAAAAAGCAGTTACATTTGAGACCACAAGTGCTAAAACAAGTCACCGGCAGGAAATACAAAAATCAAGCTGCCGAGACCAGTTATCGGTCGAGAAGAAAAAAAAGGAAGAAAGGCCGACATGGGCGAGATGACATGGCAGGATTGTGTCACCGTTTTGTACCCCCCCTCCTACCCTTCCTTCTCCCATGTGGGACTGACTCAGTCGACAGTCTGCCGCCCTAAATGTCAGGTTGATGGACCTACGGCACTGTCCATGTTTACTCACTTGTGGCCTGTTGCTGATATGGGAAAAGCCATCCTGAGACTGCTGGTATCTCCCCCGGTCGTCACATATACGTGCTTCTGTCACTTTTTGGCCGATGCCAAACATTTTGACATTCACACAACACCCTCCCCCCCACTTTATTCATTTCCTGTGTAGTATGTGATATTTGGCGTTCACATTTCAGAACACATGGGGTTTTGGTGGCAAGCTTTGTGAGTCTCAAGGGGTTCGGGGGTTAGAATCCACCTACTGTTGTGTCCATGAACGAGGTGGCTTACCACCACGTGCCACTCTCCACCGGGTTACCTGTGCATGAAAATATCCGAATGCTAATGGTTTTCCAGGTTAACCTAGCCATCACAGAACAGACACAATAATTTGTAAACCCTGAAATATTTGCACACCCCCTCCGATCCAGTCTGACCTCTTTCCAACCTCAACATCACGTCAAATTCAAAAGCAAAGCTTATATCTTTTGTTTGCCTGGAAGCTTTCCCAATCTTCAAAATTTCACTGTTGAAATCGCTCCTGAACATTTATTCCTTCCTTATCCTGTGACCATTCCCTTTCCATTGTCACATGTCTTTGCGTCTGTCCTTTAAATCCTTCCGGCATCGCATCTTTGCCGTTTCCCTCCCCTCGTTTTGACCTGTTCCAGAAGTTTTCATCCATCACGGCTGCCACATGACTGAGATCCGAAATTTGTTCATCTCCAAGACGATCCCGTTTCCACGGTGGCCTGGCCCGGTGTAACAACACTTCAACTTTAATTTCAGGCAGCCATCTAACACGCTACAAATGATATCCATCCTGTGCCGGGTTCCCTGTTAGTCAGTTTCCTTCCGATGTGGCTTCAATCTTTCTTTTCATCTTGGAAGACACACTTAAGCCGTTGATATCCTCTAGGTGTCAAGTTACTTCCAAATGCCGATGTATTAAGCTCTGTTTATTCATGTACCTCCCCCTCCCCCATGCTCATTTGTCCAATTTGAGAGAAATTCAACGGAAAGAAATCCCAAGTTCTTTGATCTCTACATTGATTGTTTCGATTGCTGGTGCAATTTTAAATGAAATTCTCCCAGTACCTTGACTCGCTGTTTTGAGTAAAAACTGTAACATGTACAAATCAAATGGAAAAATGGAAGGGACCCAAGATGCCGTAACCAGAACTTGGTTAGTATCTCAAAGTTTGCCCATTTTTTTTCTCAAGAAATGAGATTTCTTGAGAAATCAACTCATCTTACCCTACCTCTGAAAAACTGGTCAGTGTTCCATATTAACACTAAGCCAATTACCTACCACCAACAGCCATGATAAAAGCATGACAATTGTTAATACCGCTTGTTTCAACTTGAGTTCCATAACTGATGACAGTTCAAAGCACTGCTCTTTGTCGACTTCCAGTGATGCCAAACTAGTAGAGTGGTCTGCATAATGTAACTTGTGGGCAGTCTGTCCTCCGACTGAAGGTCACAGATCACCTGGTGGGCATTCAAGGATGACTGTCTCCCAGAAGAAGGGAAAGACGCCTTATTGTAAATTTGTTGTCTGAAACAAGTCTGTGCAGCTAGTGTCAAAAACATCAGGCTAGTTGGAGGTAATAACGCATGCCCATTCCTCTGCAAATGTGGTAAAGACATTACATAGATGAAAAACATTAGGGTAGATGTTAACGTGTGGTTTTCAACCTTATTGTCAACTTACATTAGATCTCTAAGAGGACAAGTCACGCGACCATCCATCAGCCCCAGAAAGTTAACAGTTTTTTTTTGTTTTTTTTTTGATTTGCTGGAAGTTCGTTCTGATTACTCAATTATGAATTGCCAAAAGTCTGATAGTCTGGTGACATTTATGAAAATCCCATCTGGACCCTGGGAGAATAAAAACAAAAAAATTTTTTACCAGATGGGGCAGATAGAGAGAAGTTTGTGGAGAGACAGGGCACCAGACATCTTGCAACACCTCGCCCGGATGACGAGAGACCCACTGGCAATGAGTGTGTTCCTTTTTCAGTTGGCACCGTTGATTAGCAGTGACGTATAGGGTATCGTGCCAGAAACCTCCAAGTAATCCTGTGTCTTGTCTGCTTATCAGAGGGGGAGGGACATCGGTACTGGCACTTTGGGGACCTCGTGGCCTCGCTTGGACTGGGTTGATAAAAATTGTGATTTTGTTTTAAACAAAAAAAATCACCCTTTTGGATTTAAATCAAGATTTTGTTATTTAAATTGATTTTAAAAAATCGATCCAGAAGGCTTTTGGCCCCAAAGTTCAAGACATGAAATACAGTGTGATGACTGAAGGACCCACCGCTGACTGCTGGGGTTATTAGTTTATCTTGTTGAACTGTTTCTTTCTAATCAAACACAAAAGTTGGCTTTGTCCAGTTACCTGTATGCTGAAATACACGAGCCCTTAGTATGAATAAACTGTCCAATTTCAGTGGAAAAAACAAGATAATGTAAGATCTGTTTCTCTGCTTCTTCAGTACAAGCGAGTCACAATAGTGCACCTTCTAGAGTTTGCCACACGTTGGCCAGTCCCCGGCCAGTGAAATCTGTTGCCCTTGAAAATCTGGAATGACAAATCTGGTACCAAGCCCATGTGACAGTTTGCTCATAGGAGATTTCCAACAAGACTCCACGGCCCTTCCTCTTCTGGTGGTCGGTTTATGAACTAGAAATGTTGAACTTTTTGGATGATGTCAGGAGCTGCAGTTTGTTTTGTGGAATTGAGAACCTGTTCATCCCATTTCCTCCCCTTTAAACTATAAGACTAAACCCGGCCTAGTCTTAGACTTCGAGTGTCATTCAGTGTAGTAAGAATCGCATTGACAGACTGGAACTAATGAGTGTTTGTCAAGCCCACCAATAACCATGTTGCCACCCGCACCGCCAACAACTGAACTAGACCAGTCGGACTTAAATGGAGGTCAGATTGACTGGGAAGGCAATCCAATCAACTCTGTCTGCCCGTTCATTAAGAAACAGAAATTCCGTCTGTCAATGAGAAGGGCACTTATTTTGTCCATCAACACCAGCTGTTGGTCACACTTGACATGTGCCTGACCTCCAGTCGGGGTCATGCCTCATAAGTCTTGACTGACCACCACTGTCCTAACTTCCTCCATTCCCCAACCTGACCAAATCCTCAAGCGCTGTGGGTTTGATAAGTTAACAAGGCCCTTTAGCCAAATGTGACAGGTTGCGGTGTTGCAAGCATTTTTCAGAAGAGGAAGCTGGCAATCAAAATAAACCGTTAATCACTGAGTTAAAGAATTCCCACCAGGGTGGTCCAGGAAGATAATATCCAGCCCGGTGAAAGAGGAGCCCTTATCATCTTGGCAACATGGGATAAGTACCAACCAAAGTTGATAGGATAACCCTTCCTATGGAAAAACTCTTCATCAAAAGTGTCACATATGCACTGGAGAAAACGGAGCTTATTCATCTTTGGTAATCAACCCAGCGCCAGGTGGAGTCCTGGTGCTGTCTAATCAAGTTCTGATCTTTATGGAGAGCCTTATTTGGACAGAATTGTTAGCTAGAGTCATGAAACTTCCAAGGAAATTTCTGTGATCGAGGAACGGATTGATATTGTCAAGCTGTAAGAACAGTTAGTGAGCATAAGGCTTTATTTTTAATAGCGAAATCCAGAAAGGAAGGCCCAAAAAAGTCCCTGGCTCATAGAGTGGAAGTGCTCTTCCTGTGGAAGACCACATGGCAGTGTGACACCCATGTTAATCTAATCTGCCAAGGCGTGGAACGGAGTGTAACAGTTGACGTGACATGTCGTGCCACCGCGCCATAATGCCATGTTTCATTACCTGCTTCACAACATGTACAGTCCAGTTGGTATCCCGCGCTGGCACGCTATCCATATTCCTTCCTTGTTACTTGTAGTGAGCACAGATCATAACGATCGCGGGTATCGGTCTACAAGCTTTTGTGAAATTTCACACTGAAATATGAGTGTATCTTAATAAGCTGGCACACACACCTGCCCCCCTCAGGTGCATTCTTGTGGGGGATTTCCTTTGTTATTGTGTACTAAAAAAAAAACAGACCATCTTTCCTGGTTGATATCTTGACCAAATTTCCCTTTTGTAAAATCCTTCAATTTGCTACTGATAATTATACCTTTGAATTCTTCCTGTTTGAGTAAATTCCAGAAATCTCTCAAGTGTAATTCTTGGAGGGTACCGTAGGATGACGAATGTTCCTTGTCAGGCACTTCCTATTGTTCTGGCACCCCCACCAGGCACCATAGACACCCCCTGCCCCCTGCCATTGCCTTACTGCCTTACTGGAAGACCTCCGTGATTGGCAGGTCTGACCCAGACTGCTTCTGTCATTCTCTCGCAAGATGTTTTAGAAGCAGCATGTGATGACTTTGAACACGTACGTCAGCATTAGTTTAAGTGGTTGAATGGCACAGGTTTCGCTCATCTGTAGAATGCGGCCAATAAATGTTTACCCTTTTCCTTGACCCGTTTGTCGTGGTCATCGTAAATGGCTCGTCACTGTGGACATTTCATATCGATGTACTTAAGACCATTTCTGAATTCCAAATTCAGAGAATAAAATGCTCTCCTCATAACTACAGCAGTCTTAGTTCAAGCCTTCCTGCACTATTCTCATGCATCATTGCTGATAATGAGACAAACAGACACTTGCCCCTTACCCCTACCCGAACCCCCCCCCCCCAAAAAAAAGGCACAAACAACATCCAGCGATGGGTTGAACACATTTTGAAGCATGAGAAGCCAACATTTATGACAGTTCCAGCTGACACAATCCTGGGCATGCAGACAACATCCACCAGCTTCATACTTCAGCAAATTTGCATTTACTGCCCTTTCCCTTATTTCCCACCGCTGCCCACCGCAATCACAGAAGAAGCAGTAGACCGTGGAGGAGACCAGTGTAATGCCATGGCACGCATTGCTGATCTGTCACACGCGGCAACTGGAGGCATTGTTTATGACAAGTCGTGCGCTACGCTGATTGAATAGGCATATGTCGCACCGGAAAACATCATTTTAAGTCAGCTGCGGAAAGTTACTTGTTTGTCCAGTTGCTCAGAATTGGAGTTAATTCGATTTATAGATGGGATGATACTGTCTGCCTCAGTTGATGTCTCATGTCGTGACATTATTACCCCCTCCCCTTCCCCCTTTCCCCCACCCAGAAAAAAACCCCAAATTAGGAACATACCCTATGTCTAGCTCAGAATTTCATCATCTCACTATGCTTCACCTCTGAGCATCACTGGTCGGCGCACAGTCTGTGTGCTGCACTTTTCAGTTTAGTCACGTTATGGTCTTTACTGAAGTCAGCTGCGGCATTGCTTTCACTATTGCCTTCTGAACTAGGGCTGTGCTGAATATCTGACTATTCCATCGATTATCAAATATTTATTGAATATATTTTCTAAATTTGAATATTCGAATGCAACATTCGTGAAAATGGAGAATTTTTGTTTGTTTTCAATGAGAAAAATTAATTATTCATTAAAAACTTTAAAATGAATAGGAATTTTCAACAGGGCAAGAAGTATTGTTTATCTCTTAAATCTTGCTGAATAAGGGCTAGAGATATTCCTTGGTGTGAGAAGCTATAATATTGATCATAATGCACAAATGTGTTTATTATTGCAACTGATTTTGTATATGGTTTGTTCATCAACAATCTGCCAGTCAATACAAACAAATATTCGGATATTCGATGAGTGAAGGGCGAACATTCAAATCATGAATTATTTAAATTAAATCAGCCTTAGCCTGAATTACGATGGAACAGAGATACTTTAGAAATTCCATGAGAAACGAGGGTGTCTTTTGATCAAGCAAACTGAAATGATTGTCTTTGAATGAAAATAGCAGCAGGCGGTTTGTGAGGACAAAAATGTGAAGATTGTAAACACATCTTGTGAACTTCAGCGTCTACAGTAACTAAGATAAGACACTAATTCTATGAACATCTTGTTTCTTTTGTGGTCTTTTCTTAAGTTGTACAATTGAACCCCAAAGGCAACCATAGAGGTACAATCCCTCTATGTGCTCATCTTTTCATCCATTTTTAAAGGTGCAAATTGCTAACAAACACTCTCGTCGTTCTTAGTTTTTAGTTTTTTTTTCCTTGCAAATCACAGTGGTGCGGAAAGGAGAGTCTGGCTTCATTTACTTCCGTCTGCTGAGCAAAAGCTCCAAGTGGCTGTGGGTACAGGCCAAAGGTCGGGTCATCTACAAGAGTGGCAAACCGGACTACCTTGTGTCGACACACCGGCCAATGAGGTAAAGGCATTCGGTTCAGCAAATACTAGTGGTCCTACCCATTGTTTACAGAGGGCGCTATATAACTTAACCGTGAGTTGGAAATGAAGGCCAGTTTTAGTTTGCTTTGAATGTTCAAAGAGTAAGAAACTACACTCGGCCTTGCGATAAACTGTCAAAATTTTCCGGCTGTTCATGTAGCAAAGCAGGCGGTGCTAAAAAGGAGTCGGTGAGTTGCAGCTGCACTGACAGCATTTCTGTGGAGGCTACAATTTGTTGTTGTTACCCCAAAACGCAAGAACCTGCTTTGAAATTATGTCCTGTCTGCCGATTCATGTGCAGAACAGATCTCAGGGTTTTAAAGGACAGGAACAATGCGCAGCCATTACGGCAACTGCTCATGCAGCCTCTACTGTGTTTTGTGTGCTCTAAGTTGTTTATCATAGTGAAGCGAGCTATACACTAATATAACTTTGAGGGTGGATTGTTGATACTTTGCTCCCCGAAGTATTGGACGTTGGCAGAGTAGTTCTCAAACCAAAATGGAGGGAACTCCATGACTCAATGATAACTCAATAGTAGTTTTGCTTTGCTCTTTAAACTTCATGCATATCCAGCGTTTGGTGTTGGGAGAGGGCAAATTCTGAAGCGAATGCAGCTTCAGGCTTATTCAACATGGTGTTGGGGGGAAAAATATCAAAAGCAATGCTCAATAAGGGGGGCCACTGGGTATGCCACCAATGGGTGGATCTTTGTGGTCACCCCTGTGGAAGAGCAAAATTTAGAGGCCAGCATGTGTTCTAATTGACAAGCAAGAATTTGGCTCTGAAGCCCGAACATGTGTCGGATAATGAAGTTTTCACCAGTTTGTAAAAATATCAACCCAGCACTCCAAAATCCACCCACTGATGGAGTAATCAGGACTCTCAGGGTTATTGATATCATCTCTGTTCCCTTGGAATGCAGAATAAGATATTTTCTGTCATTTTTTTATCCCAGTGATGAGGAAGGAGAGCAGCATCTCAATGCTCGGGGCGAGCCCTTCAAGTTTCCTTTCAGTGGCAAGGCTGAGTTATATGGCTGTAACCCCCCCTACCCGCCTATACCAATCCCAAAAGGTGAGCCAACCGAATTAGACCACTTGTATTGTTTGTCTTTTGGCCTTTGTGTCTGTCCGTCTGGGTGGGTCGTTACTGCCCTTGTGATTATAGCAAAGGACCAGTAATTCAAAATTGAATGACAGAAACTTCCAAGAATAGCTATTCATGTTTGACTTTGCTTCTCTGTTCTTTATTTTATAATAATGGTGGTGGTATTTTACACGATAAGCTGCAATATTATTCTTCATGGATCCAGACAAGATGGCAGGAGTTGCTTTTGTTTAATAGAAAAGGACCGTTCAGGTATTTAGTTGACCGTACTTTATGTTTGATTTCTTTGAAGCTATTCTTGAGGGACGAGCCAAATTCCCAGCCGGCTTCCCACCATTCGGCGGTGAAGGTCCTCCTCCATTCCCTGCAGGAAGTATGCCCCCTGGTTTTCCTCCCTTCCCCGGGGATGGTCCCCCACCCGGTTTCCCTCCCTTTCCGGGAGATGGACCGCCGAGGGGCTTCCCACCGCCTAATGGTTTCCCGCCAGGCAGACCCCCGCCTGGCTTCGAGGGCGGCGTGCCCCAGATGCCGGCCGGCGTGGATCTCCCTGGGCTGTCCAGCCCCGCCTCACGACAGCTGGAGCGCCGACCCAAGCTGGTGGCCAGGAGGCAACTCACCAAGCCCTCCCACGGCACCCCACCTCCAAATGTCACCGTCAACCCGGCCAGCGGATCTTTCGACTTTAACCCAATGTCCAGACTACCGTCCATGGCGTCCTCGTCGGTGTCCCGGCCACCAGCGCAGGTAGCACAGTCGCACCCCACACAGGCCCAGCCATCCCAACCGATGACGCAGCGGGAGATTCTGAAGCAGGAGTTGCGGAAATTCACGCAGGCCTTCCAGAAAGTCAGCATGAGGGAGGAGGCTAATGCCAGGGCCATGGCCGAAAGAGGTTCGGCAGCCAGAAACGACGTCCTGCAAACAACAGCAGTGACACAGCCCACCACCACCTCCACCGCTTTCCTCAGCATGGCCAACACCCTGACTAACACGGCGGATTGCCACTCATCTGCTTATCCACCAGTTACAAGTTCCCATCCCCAGAGCTTCAACCCTGCAGACGCTGATAACTCAGAACAGCTGGATTTTGACACAGACTGGATAGTTTTGAAGACATCCCCTCAGTCGGTGGATGAGGATTTCAGTGAAAGCTGTGCCCTGGCATTCACTGTGCCTCCTAGCAGCAGATCAGGTGCTTCCTCAAATCCCTATCCCAATCAACAGAGCATTGCTAACACCAGTAATCCTGTCTCTGACACTGCTTCCCCATCCAGCTCCAATGCGCCAAGAAGTACCACCACAACCGCCACACTCTCTCACCCTCCTGTCTCCAGTCAACAGGCTTCCCTCACCCACCCTCTCCAGACCAACCCTCTGGACTTGATAGGCACTGACGAAGCAATCCCCTCTTTCAGTGATTCCCTTGCTCCCATTACCATTGACGATCTCATCCCCTCGCTTACTCCCTGTCAAAACCTTCCAACGGACTTGAGTGGTCTCTCAAACAGCAGTCTGGGAAGTGAACCCCAGACCGGCACGGTGAGGCCCATGCAGCAGTCAGCCTTCCCCCAGGAGAGTCCCTCTCTGTCCACGTGTGCTTGGCAGCAGGTCCCTGCCCCCCACCCCAACCCCCAGGGGATCAACTCCCCACGAGTGCCTCCCGCCCCTGCCCCCGATCAAACCAATGTCTTTGACTGCAGGCAGGACCCAAACACGGTGCTGGACTTCAGCAGCATGAGCGAGGAGTCGTTGGGTCTGGACCGGCGTCAGGAGAGCATGAGCACCACCTCTTCATCCAGTCCATGTAGCAGCATCGACAACGACAGCACCCTCAGAACCAACTGGCCCACCGAGCAAAACGTCAGCAGCCCCCCTGACATCAAGTACCCGTTAACCGACGAGCAATTTCTGGCCTGTACAGCTTCCCTCGGCAAACAGAACAATCTCCCTTCCAATATGAACGGCTTCTCTCAGCTTGGCAGTTTCACACCCACGAGCCCGTTGACCCAGCGCAACCCCAACCACCACACCCTCGCCAAACAGCAGTCGCCGCAGCAGCTTCCACAGTATCACCAGCCCCACAACATGAGCAGCCCGCGACAGGCCTATGCACCCGACACCGACACCTTGAACCAGTTCAACATGTCCCAGCAAGCGCTGATCCAAGAGAGTCTCACAGAGCAGAACTTTGTCAAATGTGAGCCGATCCTCAAACCCAACCAGCAGCAACAACTTGACGGTACGTTGATCAATCAGCACATACCCCAGTCTGCCTATCCAGGAACTGTCATCGAACCGTTAGAGAATGGTTTCCCTGGTCAGGTGAACGGATACGATGCCTTTCCTGACACCAGTCAAGACCTTCTAACACCCAACGGAGACTTCAACACTGGCCTGAATTCAAGCCCAGAGGCCTTCATGGTGCAGCAAGAGTTTGAAAACATGAGTGTAAGTACCAGTGTCATTTTGTCTTGACAACCTGAAACTTTTTTAATGCAAGGATAATTCCACAGGGAGTGCCCCTCGTCTTTTTAAGGAATACAAGCTCGAGATAGCTTGGGGGCACCACGTGAGAATACTTGCCTATGCACATGTGGATTCTCACCCAGAAACATCCAGTCCAGCATGGAATGCACAATCGACATTTTTGGTCAAGTTACATTAGCACTACGTGGACTCCACTCTTGTTTATTTTCATAAGTACCAGCACCTTTCTGGTCAAAGAGGAATTAGATATGCATGCACTTCCTTGGTGTGAGCGTTGTACCGCCACAGTAATGGCTTCAAATTCTGAATAGTAGCTTTGTTGGAGATATCTCCTTCATGCATTGGTGAAGTTCTGAAATGAAGCGTTGAACGCAACATTGCAGGCAGTATGCCACTCCCCAAATGTAAAGTTCACCAGTTCTTTTCAGAGGACCAATGGACGAAACAGATAATTCCTACACGATGTTATGGCAAGATTACCCCAACTACCACACAAAACATGCAAAATTCACAGTGGACACTGTTTGTTCCTTCTGTGGATGTGCCAAGACTCATGAAAAGAAACACTCTGTTGTGGTAAATCCACTGTCCCTGTGGAACCTCTCATACATGCATGAAGGTAAATGAGTTGCTCTCTGTGACATTTGGCTGTGTGAGACAGCAAACCTGTCAAGCTTAAATGCCATGCACCACCAAGAGGTTGCAGTGGAGAGGTCTTTTTTGCAGTGCATTGTGGGATAGTTGTCAAAAGTTCCTTGTGTCCGATGCGCTGCACAGGATGCAATTGAATTGTGCTACTGTTTTTTGTCTGGGGTAAAGATTTGGAAGTGTATGATGTATGGGCTAAATAACATAAAATGGTGGAGTTTGGTGAGGAACGGAAAATCCCGATCAATCACTTATTTCCTTGATGACATTAGCTCAAATGCAAATCACGGCAAGTAGGCCATTTTTTGAGGTGGGGTGGTGTCCGTAAACTTGAAAAAGGGCCGGTCCATAGCAACCTCTTGGTGGCGCACTGTTATTGTGAATTGCCTGTATCGTGGGACTGACCAGCGTGGCACCTCTTGTTTACCTGCAGGGGAACTATCCAGACCCTTCACTGGCCTTCCAACAACAGGCACCCAACCTGCAGCAGCTGCAACAACAGCAGCGCCAGCAGCAACAACAGCAGCGACAACTGCTGCAGCGGCAACAGCAGCGACAACTGCTGCAGCGACAACAGCAGCGACAATTGCTGCAGCGACAACAACAGCGACAATTGCTGCAGCGACAACAACAGCGACAATTGCTGCAGCGGCAACAACAGCAACAATTGCTGCAGCGGCAACAGCAGTATCAACTGTTGCAGCAACAGCAGCCGCTGAACTACGTGCCAGACTGCCTCGACGTGACAACCACCCCAGAGCAGCTGTACCTGAAAGGTGTGCCCTGATCAAAATATCTTTAGGACATTTGTTTTTTAATCCCCTCTTTCGGATGCAATTAAAAAGACTGACAAACCTGAACCACTTAAAAAGTGATATGCAGCTCTCACCAAGCCTCTTTGTATATGGCCCGGAGAATCCTTGGGACTCCTTGAGTGTTTGAAGGATTGAGGGGTGGATTTTTAAATCAAACTCTCTGAACCTTGCTCAAACACTCAAGCTGGTTAAGCCTGGAGTGAGACATTCAGTGCTATAAAAAATGGTTACGGACCTGTGGTTTCAGTTTAAAGAGCAGAGAGAATGAGAAATGAAGGATTTGGAATTTGAATCAATTTGTAATTTTCGAATTGTTTGTTGGATGCTTTCTAGTGGGTGAAAGGCATACAAAAAGTGGAGTGAGTTTTTCCCTCTTTTCCCTGACCCCTCCTGTCACTGAAACTTTAGAATTGACTCTCTGTTTGTAAACTGGAAGAGATCCGTTCTTGTCCTCCTATCATCAGCATGGCTCCATCAAATACGGAACGATCCATGTTCTCACACCAGAGAATGGGGCTTGCTTGTTCTATTTGATGAGAAAGTATGTGAAATTTTCTTGCAGTGGGCCCCGTCATAAACCCATCAAATTCAAGATGGAACTAAAATCTGATTATATTCAGCCCTTCAAATAAACTGATCACCTGCATTGGTTTCCTAGGTTCAATTTTACGGTGCCCTTTGCTCTTTTGGGGGGGGGGGTGTATTAATTCCCTTGGGGAAAATTTCTGCCGAGGAACCTCTCTTTTATCCGGGCAGAAATTAGAATGGTCAGAAATTTAAATTTCATCGGGCTTGGGACATATTTGTTCTGTTGTTAAGACCAAATTCTCCTGTAGGTGTTAACCGTGACAGTATTATACACAGAAATATTTTTGGTGTCCAATATTCGAAAATGCGATGAGGAAAGAAAGAAAAAAGAAAGGACATTGTCAAAACGTACGCTTTGCGATTTGACCATTATCAAGTGTTTCAAGCTTCAGCGTTATACCAGACCATCGCTGTTCACGGCAGCCAAAGGTTTCATAGATTATTTCTGCAAAAAAGTTTGAATGAGGCCATCCACTGGTGACTATGATAAAGGCTTTAAAAAATGCGAGAACTGTGAAGTGGATTATTGAAATGAAAATATAAATATATCAGACTTTTTTGAAAGCCCCATCCCTTAAAGTGGACGGGCTATAATTTTGATGCATTTGTATCATAAATTTATTTTCGTGTACAATTTAAGAATTGTACCCCTAAAAATATTATAAATGATGTTAGCAGCTGCACACAGAAAAATCTGTGGGTTTTAACTACATTGAGAATTAAAAAGGAAAAATTAAGTTATGAACTAATCTTGTTTATAGGTCAGGAGACATCTTATATTTGAACAGGATGCAAGTTTTAAAGTGTAGGTCTTGTCTCTTCTTTTAAAACTTCTCATTTTATGCACTGGCTGGTAAGGGAAAATTGTTTCTTCCAATTTCGTGACAGCATTGGCTCCAGAAATTTTTATGTGCTCCTCTTGTTTCGATTTCTGATATGGATTTTAAAAAGGTCCCCTTTTTTTGAAGTTTTAAGACGGAGTCTTTCAAATCAATTTTGATTTTTTTTCCCAGACGTTGTTGCTCTATAAGTAATTATGCTGGGTCTGCTTGATTGGATCCTAGAGGGCACACTTCATGCGTCGCAACTTTGACCCAGACGTTGCCTCGGTGTATTTTTATTGCATGTATTAATGGAGGTTTCATTTTTCCCTTTAGATATTTTACTGTACATACTTCCAAGTAAGTAAACAAGTTTTGAGTATTAACATAAATATGTAGAACATTGTTGAATGCCATTTCCGCCCAATCATTGCTTACGTTGCATGACATGATAAAAGTAAACGGTTCTCAATTTAATGTACATATTGATTGTAATTAACACATTAAACATGATTAACCAAGATTGTTTTGTTTTTTGTACATTGTGTTTATTAATGGGAAAAGTTTTAAGTTACTTAAAACTGTTTCCCGATTTATCGGCCGAGTTAGAATTTCAAGAAGAAGAGTTCTTGCATGTCTCCATGTACCTAACTACCTTGTTATTTTCCAACATAATATTGGACTATTCAATGAGATTTACAGGCTACGTTTTATCACAAGTGTATCAAAATATTGCAACCCATTTTGACGTTCAATTTTTCTATTATGCAGTTTGACAACTTCATTGTCTTTTTCAGCGAAGATGTAAAGCATCAGATGTAAAAGAAGAATCTTGATGGGTTGAAATAATGGTTTCCAATCCAATTTTGACGGAAAATAGGAAAGTAGTTCCGAAAGAATTTACAGGGACAACTTATCTGTAGAAACAATGTGTGCGCCTTGATTTGAATCTCATTAAATTGTGTATTTTTTTAAATTACCTCATAACTGGTAAAATGGCCGACAAGTTTTGAAACAATTCTTCCCATTCACCCTGAAGATCGAACTGGAAAGATATCTTTTTTTTTCTTTAAAATTGCCGTTCGTTGCTCAGTCGGTTTTTTTGTTTAAAGTGTGGATCATATTTGTTTGCATTGTTGTTGTTCATGGATTACAATTCATCATCGTTGGTGCTTTTTCGTCACACTTAAATTTGTTTCACTCGACCAACTTCTTCTTCTTATATTTTTAATTTTGTTTCGCTTGTGCCTGTTACTCTGTCCAAAATCGCGCCAACGCTTGCATCAAATATATGCGCATGTACTGTGACGGAATTTTTGATAGCTTAGTTCTCACAATGCATGCGTGCCCACTTCGCACGCAAATGGAAGTTTGCGCCCTGGTCACTGGTGGAACAAAATTCTCCCCGGAGAGAAATTAACCCTAACACTCCGCAGTCCTCCAACAGGTGAAGGATTGAGGAGGGTTAGGGTTAATGATTACCTCAGGACAGGGCGATGGACGCAGGCAAAATTGTTGGTGTTTACTAATACCGTTTCAGTGTTTTCTTTATTACGTACAAAGTCTAGTTTTCTGCGAGATTCCTTTGTCTCCTGTGTGTTCTCATGTTTGTGTACCAGATACATTTTTGTATGTAAGCCGTTGCACTTTGCTTTCAAAAAAGAGAGGAGAAAAAGAGTGGATTTTGATATCTTTAGATTTTGTTCAGCGATGGCAGCATATTTTCGTGAGGGGGGTGTAAAAGTATGTCCACTATATCGACGAATGTCAGAGATCCACAGAGGCAGTTAAGCATGAGCATTTCCCTCTTTCCAGTCCTTTCCCTGCTACTGTCGTCTGCTTTTTAATTTTCTTTCGATTCCATGACCGATAATCTCATTGGCTGCCTTGACAAAATCAGCGTTAGCGTGCAGCGCATGCGTCCCTCGCGCGCAACGTCGTTGGCTCTTAAACAGCACTGTTTAACATGCCGTGCTTCTCATTGGTTTGTAGTTGTCGACACCAACCAATCAACATCGACATTTGTAACTACGTGTGTGGTCTGCGCGCTCTCATTTTGTTTGTAGTCACCTAGCTTTACACGCTGAAAGTTGGTTGTCACTTATTTTAAGGTAATATCTGAACTCAAATCACGGTTTTGGAGTGTATTTGGACTTCATTTCACAAACGCGTTGAGTAATCTTGTCCTTACTGTACATTTAGTTTGGAAATTAATGTTATATTGAATGACGTCTGAAAAGATATTAACAAGAGTGTATTATAATTGTATTAATAAAAAAAATCTTGAAATGATTCATTTGAAGTTGGGCTTAATGTATTTTCATACAACAGTCTCCGACTTTGATGCAGAAGTTCTATTTATTAAGCTTTTACAAAGTGTTCGTCAACAAAGCAGCGACACCACCACAATCGGAAACCAGCAATTTTCGGAGAGCCCTTGGTAACCAATGCTACGTAAATTGTAGACTGGTTTCCATTCATCCCAATATATTGGGGCCAGTAGCTTGTGTCGATTAATCTTGGACAGATGTCGTTGGAACATGCTTCCCCTCGCCCCCTGTCAATGTTGTTTCTCATTGGGTAAGCTGGGTCGAACTTTGGTCCGATAAATGACCGCAACATTGAATGGGGGAGAGGGGGATCTTTTCAACGTGCTTCCCACAAGGTGTTCCAACCATTTTGTTATTTTTATTTTTATTACGATTTATTCATGCCAGAAATAAAAACATACCCCCAGCGAGACAGGCATAGGGGAGACAAGCAAGGAGACTCACTATGGCCAGAAGGACCTGTCACCCCGCGTCTCACTGGGAATTAAAAATAAATAAGATATTCTTTAAAAATATTAAGCTAATTTGAAATAAAATGAAAGATATAAAGAAATATATTGAAAAAAGAAATTAAAATATTCAAGGATTGTAGTAATTCCGGAGAGCCCTTGATAACCGTAACTACGTAAATTGTAGAGTGGTTTCCATTCATCCAAATATATTGGGGCCAGAAACTTGTGTCGTTCCGAAAGTACACGCTCAATTTCAAAAGGGGTGCACGAATGCAATTTCTAAGTAGCGCCCTCAACTGCCTCCACTACTCGCTGTGTTGAGCTTTTATAAATATAAATATTGACTGCTTTTTACTACTGTATACCAAGGGATTACTTCCTGAACTCGAAGTCACTAACTCCTCCAGGGCAAGCAGATTCAGTTTTTTTGGTACTTGCCGCGCAGGCGCGCGTTTATAATGGCGCGTTTGACGCGGAGCACGCTGAGTATGCGTAACGAATTTATTCTTCCAGGTTGCACTACACCAAATACGCGCCCATAGAAAACAGTGCAAAATCGGACCGAAATAGCGCCGTCTGTTGACTCTCGGGATCGTAAAACGGTTGGCCTCCGTTTTTTCACTGGAGGTTCAAGATTATGTCCAGAAGATCATTTTTTGGGGGTTTAAATTTCATGGGAATTAGCCACGAAACTTTTTAAAATTCGCCTTTCAGGGAAGATACCCCCAAAATAGCAGTAAAACTAAGCGTTCATTTCTGAATGTAGTCGCCCTCCTTTTTCCAAATAAGGCCCACAATTTGGGGCTTTTTGTGAAAGAAATACTCTGAACTGCAAACTATATATCAGTCCCAAATTCATTATTTATAGAAATAGTTCTATGATCCTTGCTGATTATGGCATGTCTTATCGTAAAAATCCCCCTGGGATCACAAAATATTAATGAGCGCGCGCAGAAATACAACGATTTGGTGGAATGCACTCTTATTATGGTCTCTGTGTACACGCAGAACGCGTAAGTGACTTTGTCAGAAAGGCGGACGCGCCACCATTCGCAGGCTCCTCGCAGAAGTTGCACTTTAACTTCCGGTTCCCCATAAATGGTAACCCTATGCGCAATGAACGTGTTGAGTAGGCGTGGTTTAAACTGAAGTGACGTCACACTTACGAACCGGATGCAGTTAGTACCAAAAACACGCCCTCTTTTGTTCCGCTGGGAGCGGATAGACAACCAAAATTAGAAGCCATTACTTCGGGCCCATCCTGTTCGCTCGCAGGCGGTGCGCGCGCGTGCAATTCCTCCTTGACCAATAGGCAGTAGTCAATTGCTGAAGTGCCTCCGCGTGCGCACTCAGGTTGAAACAGCTGCGTCAGCGCAGATGGCCCCTTAGAATGGCGTCTCGTCAGATTTGTCTAATGCGCACCGCGGCTGTTAAAATACCGTGCATACTCTTCCATACTAACCTGTGCACCCATGTCATTTGAACGCAGACCCTTCCTCCCTGTCGAACAGTTCGTCAGAATAAACTTGGTATTGCAAAGCGATAACTATTAGGCCTATGTATCGGAAAAAATCCGTTACAAAATACTCTTGACTAAATAAATCAAGTAAACGAACCATCAGCAAATTCCTGACAAATACCTGCATCATTTTTATTCCACAGAAGTTACGTTCAGGCAAATCACACACATAAAAACCGATACAACTCCGATATTAACATTATGCCTCATTAATAATTAATTTATTTGTGCGAGAGAGACGGGCAGAGAAATCTAAAAACAATGCATATACATATAATTATGCTCATTTAGATGGTAATAACATTAAAACCCAGGTTTTGGGAAAAATGCAAGTGGACCATTTAAGAAGTTCATACTTTGATAAAACTTTAACCCAAATAACTCTGAAAAGCAGCAAAATGAACGATTATTACAATGGAACCAAAACCATTTCAACTTTATACAAGTACATGCTTTACATTTCGTTTCGCTCGGATGTCACTTCGGTACACACGGTGAAAAACTACAACTGCCGTTCATGTTGCGGCCAATAGCCACTCCACAGTTTGTGAACCTGCCGTGCCTTTTTCCATCATTGCACGCACCCTGGGGAGTTACGGATTTTTAGGGCGTCAAGAACGATAAATTCTTGAACAACGTTTGTTCTTTATTTGCGGGCACGTTTCCGTACAAGTCTTTCTGGTTTTCCAATTATTTCTTAACATTCCCAGCTACGATGTCCAATATGAGCGTGAAAACCAAGGAATGTACTCTCTCAGATGCACCCTTTTTTAAAAGGTTAGCCCGGCTTTCAAATCAATGCTGTCTTACCGGTAAGATGGTAAGTTATGTAATATTAAATTCGAAGCGCGAATACAATACAAAATGTACCTGTACGAGTACTTCATTTGAATGACTTTGGATCTGCTTGGGATGTTTTGGAGAGGTTTTGTTTTGGATTAAAATGGCTAGCTTTAACAGACACAACGCCAACGCGTACAAGCGCAACAAAAACACTTCATTTAAGTGACTTTGCATCTGGGTGATGAACTCGTCTTGGAGGGGGCTCGCTGCAGTATAGCAAGCTTCCAACACTTGAATTTTTGTGAGACCAGACAAAACACATCGGAGTGACATTCCAGCGGCCGACAGGTGCGTGGCTAACCACAGGCAAGTTTAGAAATCATTTACATGCAGGTGGTAATAAAACCTCTTTATCGAACAAACAAATGAACAGGCAGCATGTGGAAGGTTGGAAAAGGATCTTTGGATTGTAGATGCAAGGAGTAACGTACATACACAGCTGCTTTTTGGTTAAACTTTATTACTGTTCATCTGTACTGTTGCGGCGCTAGCGCAAGTAGAGTAGACATTCTCCTAGATGTGGAAGTTCCAATTCCTCGATACACTTGGTGTAAGCCTTGTTATGTCCTGCCTGCTTGATGACCCTGGCCACTCCACGGACTATCACCGTCTCATCCGCTCGGATCGACCGTATCCCGTGCCTCTCGCAGGTGTACCGCAGCCGCACTTTCATGATCACCGAGACTCTCTTGACAATAGTTTCTCGGTTTCTGGCGGCGTCCTGGTCGACTAGGGTCTCGGTGCCGAGTTCGACTTGACAGGGGCTGGCCTCCTCCACCGTTCCGTTGCCGATGGGCCGCCGGGCCAGATCGGTCATCACCAATTCATCCCCAGCGTGCACGGCGACGATGGCGAAGCCGTAGCCAGTTGGAATACTGTCTGACCAGAAGTAGTTGGTGTTCTCGTTCAGGCTGTCCGCCGTGAAGGTAAGCCGCTTGCCGTAGCCTTGTCCAACGCGGAGAAGGTGGAGCGCTTCACCGCGGAACTGGTAGCGGGGAGCTGCTGGGGTCACCTCGGTAGCCTCATTGCCGAGGATACGGACTCGATACTTGAAGCCTGGCATGATGCGAGGATCTATGTGTGTACCTGTCAACAAAACGAAACACATTTTCAATTTAAATCTGAATCACATTCACAACCCAAAAAAAGTCTTAATCCATCCAAGGTTTTACAAACAAGTTGAACAAAGTCAACCCTTTTCTCGAAATAAAAATACAAAGTAAAATGCACATGGAATTAAGTTATAAGTCTACTTTTCTCAACGTTTAGCCCCCCCCCATAATGTGACTTTTTCATTTGACACAGGCCCTACGTATCGTATACATATATATTATGGCAACATATTACACTTCGGGGCTGTGAGAAAACGACGTATATTTTTAAAAACAAAAACAAAATTTGCAGACTCAGCGATAATCATTCGTACCGATCACGGGCATTTCGTGCTGTTGTAGGCCACGAACTTCGTAGGAAACTGGGACACCATTGCCTTGAACATGCACAACTTCTTGCGTAGACTCCGCCTTTCCACTCGAAGAGCAATCCGGAAACGATGCTTCGTCAGCTTTAAGTCCGTCATTTTTGGCGTAAAAAGCATCGGGTATCTTGGGGATGGTCCCGCCGAATAGTCCCTCAAGATCCAGGCCCTGACAGCGGGCAATCTCGCCCTCCAAGTCCGCATCATCATCGTTAGGGCCGGTGATGAAGGGACCGGCGATGCTCCGGACTTCATCCTCGTCAGGCATGTTGTCGAATTGGTGGAGATGCTGAACCTTAAGATGAGAGCCGTAAAATGGAACGTCCACCTCTGTCATCTCAAAAATAGGGTCTGTAGAGAAAAATGCATTCGACTGTTCAGATACAGACCAGTTAATTTATCCAAATCACGTCTGGAAAATTACCGGGAAGTATTCATCAGAATATTCGAAGCATTTCTCTCTGATGAGAAGTCCTTTCGTACATGTGCACACATTTTCCCCAAATAAAACACGCACACATAATGCATGGACTCCATCCACCCCAACACGTCGTGAGTGCGTGATCAGGCCAGGCAGGATAGGACTAGTGTGTCCATGGCCATGGTCACAACTCAACTGGCAATGAACATTTAGCTCCCGTCTTCCAATCGCGACCTATCTGTTTATTATGTTATTTTTTATTGGATTTTGTCAAAGAGAAGTGAAACAACAAGTTTTGCCAAAAGTATCAAAATATTCCGAGGGGCATCTCGAAAGCCAAAGCCTCGACCTCTTTATCATCAAGTCCTCGATGAAAACAAGAGGAACACTTAAACCATGTGATTCTACCTCCATGCTTAAACAGATTATTTTCGTTCGAACAGTGTCCAATAATAATTAGTTTCTTTGCACCCTCCTTACCTTTGTACAATGTCTGTGAAGAGCTTTGAACTTGCAAAATTAGAAGAACTGTCAGTCCAAAAAATCTTGGCCAAGTCGTTCGGTCGTTGCCGGAAAAATAAAAACAGTCCCTAGTGCCGATATTCCCGCGTCGAGCTCCCACTTTCTCCGCGCATGACACTATTACGTTCATTCATAAATTCGCCGTACCTCTGCGCCTTATTTGGAATTGCTCTTTCCAAATATAGACCACATTGCTTCGCCTGCGCAGTGTACGATATGATGATTGGTAAAGATTTTCAGGGTTCATTATGCGAAGCGTTTTGATTGGTTCATATTAGATGAGGCCCCTGCATGCACCGTGCATGGCACGCGTGAAGAGAGCGCGTGCATTTGTTTTGGTTATGTAGTCCAAAGCACGTGTTTATAATTTCTGTCGCGCTCACCGTCAGTAGTAGCCTAGTAATGGCAGCGGCGTACCGTTGAAGCGTGATGCGGCCACAAGAGTTCAATAAAAGCATGCCCCTAATGTTTTATCAGCCATACTGTGCTGTCGCAAATATTTGGAAGAGGGAAAATTTTATCATCGACGTTGCATGAACACTCGCCTGTGATGTGGGTAAGTTCTTGGTGGGATTTTGGACCTTGCGCGGTCGAAATTGTTGACAGAGAACGAGTGCTACGCGGGCCCTGAACCGAGATAGCGAATGACAATGAATATACTTTCTGCATTCTGTTGACCCGTGAATAACACATTGTTCTTTGTCGCCACATCCTTGACACAGTCAAGTATGAAGTAAGGGATAATTGCCCAGACAGCAAAGAAACTAGAGCAACAGCTTCGTGTTGAACTGTTCACACCATGTCGAATTCCAAGGGACTTGAACTTCGCCACTCATGGCTGTATCCCTCAGATCACGCATAGAAATCGTGTTCCTAATGACATCACCGTATGGAGTGCACAATTTTGTCTAGACAAGCTGGAAACCCTGGGTAGTAGGCCCTATATCATGCCGTGAAAGACTTAACTGGGTAGGAGTAGGCATGGTAGGCGATTCTGGTAAGGATTTTGCTTCTCTGAATCATTTGCATGGGCCTTTTTTCTGTCTAAGGTATTCAAAGATGTTGCCACACGATGGCAAGCTTTACAGTAGGCCTGCCTGATTATATTGTGAAATTGTGCATGCTTGATCGTAACATTTACTTTTTGTCTTGAAAAGGATTAAATGCTTAGAGTGGAGTCTCAGCAGCCATAGCTATTCCATCGCCAGCTACCGTATTAAGCACTTTGACTTCCATCGTCAACATGGCAGGCAGTCCGCCCTTACCGGAGCTAGACCTTCAGACAGGCCTTCCCCGGGCCCAGGGGCTGTACGACCCACTGCTGGAGAAAGACGCCTGCGGGGTGGGGTTCATTGTCAACATACACGGCATCAAGTCTAAAAAAGTAAGAATGGATGTTTATTTTTGATATTTTATATTTTTTCTTAGCGATTGGGTCCCTAGTTGGGGCTAGACTTCACAGCTGAATGCATTTAGCTTGCATTTGTGATTCCTGTTTATGGTTCTTGTTAGAAAATGAGAACTTGAGAAAAGGAGTTGACTTTTTATTGGAGATGTTAAAGAGAGAATATGTTTGTTGTATTTTCTTTATATAGTTTTATTATTTACAATGCGAAAAAATGAAAAATGACATGTTTTTCGTATCTGTTAACAGTTAATAGATAACGAACAATTTTTTTATTTGAGTAACGTCACTTTGGAACAGGGCTTACAGTATAACTTGTGATGACTTGCATCTGACTGCTTGTATAATGAATTCAAAGTAGAAATGCAATTCTGGTCCTGTGTTGATTGATCCCGGTGCTGGATTTCATATGATAGATTCTTGAGGATGCTATGACCATGTTGTGTCGAATGAAGCATCGCGGGGCATGCAGCGGTGACAATGACACGGGTGACGGCGCTGGTGTCATGACTGCCATCCCCCACAAGTTATACGCCCGTGTTCTCAGGTTGGCACCATTGCAGATTTTGACTTTTTCATTATTTTAATCTAGAGCTGGTCTCTCTGAACCAAGAATATGAGAACCACAAATAACCTTCATGTTGACAATTGTAGCATTAGTTGTGCAGTAGTGAATAGAGGGGTGCGGGAAGAGTGCCTCTCTACCCTCAGTCAGTTGCTGAATGATTGAATAACCCTAACAGCCCTGAATCCTCCAATCTTAAAATGATTTTGCACACACCCTAGGGAGTTAGGGATAATGATGTTATTTCCCAGCTATAGCAACTATAGTTGGGACGTAACAATATTCATAAAATAGGACTAAAATTAATGACCGGAATGTTGAAAATGGAACGTTTATTTTGGTAAAACCTGAGAATTGAGGGGAGCATGGTAGATTTCAATAGTTGCGGGAAGGGATATTCCAACATGCCTTACACCGTCCCTATTATGGCTCCCCATTTCCTGAAAGCTAGGTTTGCCCCTGTTTTTTTTTTGTCAGTTAGTTGCTTTTGTCAGCAGTTTAAGGATGCAAGGTTAAACAGAGGACACGGGCCAATTTGTTTCCTTTTTCGTCCAAATTTTTATTTTTTGCCACCGCAGAGAGAAGCAGGGTGTTAATCTCCCTGGGCCAAACCATTACGCCACGGGGATGATCTTTTTGGACAAGGACACCTCCCATCAGTGCGAAAAGCTCTTTAGCGAAATAGCATCAGAGTGCAAATTGAAGGTATCTTTTTGTACCTTTTACTCCATTCTTTCTTTCTCTCTAAAACAAAATTAATTGATTGCGTATGTCATGTTTTTTTCATCTTGCAAAACGTCAAAATACAGCCTGCATTGCGTACAGATTTGAATGACCTCATAAGCCCTTTTAACCAAAATCCAAAAATCACAAAAATTGCTGTGAAAAAGAGAAAATGCTCAAAATTCGTATCTATTTGAATTTTCATGGGGGTTTACCTTCACAGTAGCCTCAAGTTCTTTGGTTCAGTTAATGTCATGAAAAATAAAGGGACATTCAAGGATTTTTCATATTTTAGAAGAAATTAGAAATGATGGAAGTAATTTCTTTTTCCAAGGTTCTTTGCTGGCGCACAGTTCCCCATAACAGCCGTGTGATTGGTCCCATAGCAAAGTCAAGAGAGCCTTACATTCGTCAGGTGTTTGTTACTGGAGAAACAGATGGCAACGAGTTTCGGAGACAGGTAAAAAACAATTTAGAAAACACCAGCAAACTGTCCATCTGTTAATTAAAGCTATCTATTTTGTCGTCGGTACTTGTGTTTGGGAATCAAACAGGACCTATGTTAGTGCGTTGTTATCGTCATTCCAATTTCAAATTCCCTGCATGTTTTATCATTTAAATGACCATTTTGATAACAGTGTGAAACTTTTCTTTTTGTTCACGTCATTTTGTCTACTGAATATATTCCTAAGAAAAGCATTTTTTCACTATGCATATATGCATTGAGATATTACGTATATATTACGTATATATATATCAATATAATCGAATGTTATCATATAGATTTGCAGATACATCAAGTTCCCCTTTTTATCTGAAAAGGCAGTTAGGGTACTCGATGACAAGTTGCTGAAAGCGATAATGTATCAGGACTGTTGTTTACTTTTGTTGTTTGTCTGGTTTCACAGGTTTTTGCTTTGCGTAAGCAAGCTACCCATACTGTTCCAAAGCAGGGGTACCGTTTTTACATCTGTAACCTGTCCGTGGACACTATCATTTACAAGGTAAAAAAATTCCCCTTTCATAGTATAAATGCACATGTGGGT